TCTCCTCTCGTCACTGAGGTCCTCCATCCACATGACAGAGAGGGAAACACAAAAATGACTCAGCTGCAACTGAAAATATGGATCGAGTACCTCAGTTTAGCTTGTTAGTTTGTCTTGTTAGCTTGTTAGCGTTGGTGCTAATGTTAAAGCTAACAGGCTAAGCTGAAGTTCTTCTTCCATGAAGCAGCTCTGTTGTCCTCCATCCATATTTTCAGTTCCAGGCTGAGTCATTTCCACCTTCTAATCTGTCAACGCTCTCTGGTTTCATTTAAAGGAGCCGATAGTCAGATGTTGTCCAAGATTAACCTTCAGGGTGGATATAGCTCGCTAGCAGCCTCACACCGAGGACCTATCCACGTCATCATTTACCCAGAATGCTTTGCGTGTAAATAAAATGGCTCCTTCTGTGTTAAAATACATGTTTAAAGATGATAAAAACTAAACAGCCTACAGAATTTTTACAGTCTTTATTTTACAGTTAAATAAATGTTTATCAAATAAAGTCTAATGTTACAACTAATCATGAGTCCCTTTAAGCAATTCAACCACATTAAAGTGGGTCCTTTTAATGTGGATCAGTTTTTAAGAACTCATCTTATTTTTATCTTTTTAACAGTTTGCTGTTTGCTTCCAGACTTTGCTGCTAATTGAATAAATCCATCTTTCTTTCTGATAATAAAGTTTCCAATGGTCCAGGCTACATCACGTCAAACACTGCCAAAACAAAGTACCAAGGGATGGAAATATTTGGAAAAGTTGTTTGGGAACTTAAATGTGTCTGGGTGCCCACACTTTACACACTGCTATAAACAGTTTCTATGTCAGTGTTCTTAATTATTTGTATGGTTCATACCAGGTATTCTTTGAGACGGAAATGTGCTCTACCTCCAGCCTTAAGGAAAGATCAAAACCACCAACATGTTCAGTGATACTGTCAGCAAATATTCCAGTGAGAGCATTAGCATTACTTACTGTCCAGAACTTGATAAAATACTGAAGATCTGTTGCAGTTATAAAAAGGCAGTAAAGCAGAGAATATGCCAGGAACAGCATGAAGAACTTGTAATTGGAGAACCCCACACAGTTGTTCACCCTGCAAGAAGAATCAGAAGCAGAAACGTGATGAAAAAGGTTTATGTTTCTACTGGAGTTTCTCCACAGGCAAAAATATCCAGTGTTTATTTCCTCTGCTGTCTGCCTCAGACCTGGAAATGGTAATTCATGCTTTTATTTTAAGCCGTATATAGCGCCTTTCTATCCATCCAGGACACTCAAAGAGCTTCACAATACAATCTGTGCCCTCATTTACCCATTCACACAGCACTCTTCTCTCTAGTTCTCTACAAAGCTAACATATACAACCATCTATGGAGACTAATCAGTGCCAATCACATTCATACACTGATGGGACACACATCAGAGTTAGGGGTGAAGTGTCTTGCCTAGGGACACAACAACGGAGACAGCTGGACAGGGGATCGAACTGGCGACCTTCCGGTTCCAGGACGACTCCCCTAGCCAGTCTGCCACAGCCCCACCCACTCTGCGATTGGCTAAATGTTTAGCAAAGACCCTCTTTTGGAATAGTTGTGTACAATGAGCCAACTGCCTATTTCTTAAAAGAACATCTACATACCAGGGGCAGTGGTGATCCATCTTCAGGATGCATCTGTAACACAGCATGATCAGACATGAGTGAGCTTACATTAGACTCTGTCAGCTGTGTGCTGCGGTCTGTTGTGTGTCAGTGCAGAGGCAGAAGGCCGTACTTATCACAGACTGAACAATGGTGGCATCGATCAGGCTTCAGCAGCTGGCAGCGCTCACAGAAACGAATTGCTGAGGAGACACAGTTCAATCACACAGTCATCAGCAGCAGCCTCTCCTGACTCCTGACCACAGACTAACAAGCTCGACAGGGGCTGAAATGAGCTCAGAGAGGTGTCAGTCTGCGCTCCTCCAGCTCTACTAGCTTTTGTGTACCTCCAGAATTGGTGCGGGTGTAGATAGGCAGGTCTTTGGCTATTCTCCTCAGGATTTCCTGCTGCGATTCTCCTCGATCTTCACGCTCCAGCAGCTCCTTGTCAGAGTGGGACAGTTGAAACTGTGAAGAAAAAAAAACAAGCAAACAAACAAAAAAACAGCATCTGGTATTTCTCTGCAGCTCATAAGCAGTGTTTATCATGACTTTACAATATAAAGCAGATTCAATTAAAGGTCTAGCATTCCTCCTTTCAGCCCAGTGTTTGTAAAAGTGACTGACTTATTGTCTTTTTATGTTTGTTAAAGGGGCAATATCATGTAAAATCAACTTTTTTGAGTTTTATATCATGTTATAATGTTACACTCTCATAAAAAAAAAAAACATGCCCAAAGCCTTGCTCTGACTCATTCATGCATGTCTGAGAAATCCTGCAGCGTTTTTAGGAAGACATGCTGAGGAGCAAAACTACAGGTGGGGACCAGAAACGCCTTTTGGTAACAGAAACGCCCCTGGGACGTGTCTTTAAGCCGAACTTCGTCATCACGGAGCACACCTCCCCACCCCCACCTCACACACCCCACCCATGACTCCTGCAGGCTCTCACAGTAACAAAGCAAAAGTGAAACTGAAACTTAAGCTGTCTGCTGAGATCCTCTACTTCTCACTCAGTGAAGCTCTTTTCAGATTCAAAATACCTTTGAGGAAATGTATTTTCAGATGCCAAGTGACGGGATGGGAGAGAAGCAGGAGGAGGTTCTTAAAAAGACAGAGGCCAATTTCAAGGCGTTTAGAAGAGGAAGTGAAGAGACGATAAGTTTATTTTCTATTTAAACATAAAAACTGCATTTTAATAACAACATAGATACTTTATTATGGTATAGTATTTAAATATATGCCTGAGAAACACATAATATTGGCCCTTTAAGTAAATTTAGCTGTGGCGACCATCTAGAGTTGGACTGGCTCTAAAAGTAATTCAGTCATAAATGTGCATCCAGTGATTACTAAAGGTTACATTAAAGTCCTTCTGATGGATCATGAAATGTTTTGCCAACCAACAGTCAAATCTGACTCAGAATAATTAACAATGAAACTGTAAACAAAGATCTTGAACAATCAGCTCTAACAATCTAAGCTACATCATACTTTAGAGCAGGGCTATTCAACGTGTGGCCCTTGGGCCACATCCGGCCCACGTGTGACTTCCATCCGGCCCACCAATGAAATTTTTTTTAGGTGATAA